TTTAGTTTACGCACACATGCACGCGCGCACACACACACTTCAAGCCATGTTTCATTTTTCTGTAGGCAGAGCACAGGTATTCCAATGCTGTTGCTTCAATATGCAGAACTGTTTTACCTCTGCTCCAAGTGTGGTTGTGCTTTCCAAAAAATGGTGAAGTAGCACTGGGCAGTATGGACTTGTTTTTACTGATGTTTCTGTTATCAGAATACCATGTTCAATGCCAGCAGCATATTAAATATTATTTTACCTAGCCCTGTTGAATCACACAGAATCACAGAATGGCAAGGGTTGGAAGGGACCTTGGGAGATCATCTAGTCCAACCCTCCTGCTAAAGCAGGTTCACCTAGAGCATGTTACACAGGACATGGAAACTGCACAGTGTTCTTGGTAGCAAGGAATAGGCAGGAATTGTGAATCTAATAGTGATACAGGTTTACTGTGCGAAGTAGTATTCCAAATAGAGTTATCAGTGCGAAAGCCTGTAGTAAATCTAGAAATCTTGTATAGTTATATCAAATATAAATTTTACCATCTATGTTTGCTATAGCATTTCAATGGGAAATTCTGATGGGATTTCATATCCCAACATTTTATTGTTAATGTAATTGCTGTTATTGCAAATGAAATAATAAAAAGAAGTTACACGACATCACAGCCCCTTTATGAAAGGGCTGTTGTGTATATGAAATGTTAAGTTTCATTTTATTTACCCAACGCAAAGCAGAGCACCAATGAAACAGTCACCTGAATAGCTTTACTGTATGCAGGCACCAAGTGTTTGAGGTGTGTAAATAATGAGAAAGGTGTGTATGAGTCTAGCAGAGGAAACCAAGAAACTGAGTAGTAAGAGAAACGTACTCCTAGAGATGATGTTGGTAAGATTCTGGAATGGTCTTCCCATGAAGAGGTCAGTGCTCTAGCCTTGAGGTATTTTAAAATATTCTTGGGAAAACAATAATGTATAGAAAGGAACAAGCTTGCATGATCTATCAGGTCCTGTCTTAATGTCTTTGCTTACATAAAGATTAGTCTAGTGTATTTCTACATATATCTAGTTAAATAACAAGAAACATCACCCTGCGTACAGCACACTGTCAACTCCTGAAGTCTGGCAAGTGATCTGTTGTGAAACTTGATCGGGCCGGATTTGAGCGCACTCTAACTCATAGCTGGTGGGATTAAATTCATAGACAGGAAGTCAGTACTGGTTGCATATTTGTGGCCTGCAGAAATAATTGAATTTTTCTAGAAAAAAATAGTCACAATGCTTTTTAAAAATTTTAAATATTGGACATGAGCTATTAGCAAAATGTGACTCATCAGTGACAGTGGGCTTTGGTGTGTACTGTTAATGTCACAAAAACAAACACATCTTTTGCTTCTGGGTTAGAAAAAGGTTTTAGTTTACCATTAGTAATACTGTTGGAATTTTGTTTAAATTGAAAGAGTATAAATAAAATGTATTTATACATGAAGAAAAAAGAATTTTTCCATGTTTTTTTGGTACACATGACCCATGCTTATTTGGTATGTGGTCATTCCTTTTTGTGTAAAAAATAGAAATGTAGTATTCCCTGGTCCTGCAGCAAAGAGGTCTTTTTCTACATGTGGAAAGAAAGGACAAGATGAAAAGGAGGACAGATTTTAATCATATTTTTGTTTTATTTACTCGTTGAGGAAGATATTTTGACAGTCGTATATTTGGCATTGTCAAATTCACAGGATTTGGATACTCTTGTTTCAATTATTTCTCTTTGCAAAGTTGGCAAGACGTTGTGTAGACTACCCAGCATTTCCTCAAGGTTTAGTGTATAGCAAGAGTGATGATCAGTGGCAGGCACCAGTTTCAACCTGTCCACTGGACAACAGGCAGGGGGAGCAAAAGCTGTCTTCCTCACTGCTCTTCCATGCCCAAATCACAGGCAGAGTCCACTTCTCCATCTTCCCTCCCTTTTCAACTGAAGTGGTGTTTGGCAGTCTGATGAAATATCCTTTCTTGCATCCCTCAACCATTGCAGA